GAAGGACAGCATGTTTGGTAAAGTGGAGGGTCAGCGAAAAACAGGAAGACCTCCACCAAGATGAATTAACAAACTGTCTGCAGCAATAAGCTCAAATGTAACAACTCTCAGAATGGCAAAAGACCAGGCAGTGGTTCCTTCTGCTGTTCATAGGCTCATTGTGAGTTGGAACTGATTTGATGGCACCTAACAATCCCAACAAGAACACCCATAGTACACTTTGTCGTCTGTTTCTATTTTCTTCTGAAGTTTGATTTTAAGAGCATCAGAGCTGGAATTTACCATCTGCTATGGTCCTGGTGTGGTGCTGTGGGTTAATATGCCAGACTGCATAGTCATTTGAACTGCAAGGTAGGCGGTTCAAGCTCACCAGCTGCTCCTTGGAAACCCTACACAGGGTTGCTATGGGTCAGAATAGATTCGACGGCACTTAACAACAATAACAACAACAATAGTGTTCTGGTGTGGTGCTGTGGGTTAATGCACCAGACTGCAAAACCATTTGAACTGCAAGGTCGGTGGTTCAAACTCACCAGCTGCTCTTTGGAAACTCTATACAGGGTTGGTATGGGTTGGAATCAACTCAATGGCACTTAACAACAACAACAACAAAATGAAAAACCAAAAGTACAACTAGATATAAAGGCATGTGTGTTCACTGAAATAATGGTGATGGATCTGTCATTTGTAGAATTGTAACAAAAAGTTTTAGCTGGGAAGGCATTTAAAACACATTTAGCTCAATCGGGTGAAACTGAGGATCAAAAAGGAAAAAAAATTCTTATCCAAGGTTATACATTTAAAATCTCTCTGAGTCATTATCCCTTTACTTTCACTCCCTGGCCTCTTAGATAGCAGCCAACCTACCTTCTCCATCCCCTTCTTGCCCACCCTACCAGCTTGCTTATTCTCTTAATGCTTGTTTCTAATTCACAGACTATTCCCCCAAACATACACATACACAAACTTTCAATAAATTTCCATTACAATGATCTTAGTGATTTTATCCCCATGGCCTAATATCTCAAAACATCATTTTTGATACTTTGATTATCTCAAAAAATCAGTTCCCTTCCTTCTGGGATTCACTCTAACTCCAATCCCTCAGCATTAGTGACAGTAAGAAATGGTGAGGTTCTCTCCTTTTCCTCCTACTCTACAGGAAAACCTGGCCAGATTATAATCAGCTCTGTGCTGAGCTCAGTCCCAGTGACATCATTAAAGCCTAATGCTTTATGAACTACCAAAGCTAGAAATGGACTTCTGTCTGACGTGCCAGGCTTTTAAATCCTGTACCTGTGCCCAGTCCAGAGATTTCTGAAACCATGAATAAGTGATATTCAACACTCTGAATACTTAGTCTGAGTTAACTGATGACAAAAAAGACATGGGGGAAAAAAAAAGATTTGTACTTTTACTCTCACCAAGACAAGTGGTATTCTAAATTCCAACAAGGCAGATTCATAACCACCTTCAGAAAGACCATTTGGACAATAAAAGTATTTTGTAAAAATGATAAAAGTAAACAAATCAATAAACATTCTCAGCAGGTAGTAAGAAATGCCTCTGTCATCAAAATGGGATACGGATGACAGTAAAATCAAGCCACCCAGCTTTACAGATGAGAAGAGAAAGAAAGCACCAATAATTTTATCTTGTTTTCTTAAACCACTTCTTCTTTTCCTCAAAAGGTTGGGGACCAGAACCTAAAGTTTCCATTTTAAAGTAACCCAAGGAGCTCAGAGGTTTCCTCTCAACAGATTTTCAAGGAATCCATTACTGATTTTTCATATTTCAAGCAGTCAAGAGCATTTGGCCCCATGAGCTGACAGGCTTATTTTCTCAATGAAAATATTAATGAATTTCCCTGACTTAGGTGATCTGGAAATGTTGAGACATTGCTAGATTTCTAAGTGTTTTGTAAACTGGGTGAAATTGTTGTTGTTGTCAGGTGCCTTCAAGTCGGAACTGACTCATAGCGACCCCATGCACAGCAGAACGAAACAATGTCCGATCCTGGGCCAACCTCACTACAGCCGCCACACTCGATGCCATCAATGATGCCACCTGGCCAATCCATCTCATTGGGGGTCTTCCTCTTTTTCTCTGACCCTCCCTCTTACCCAGCATGAAATCCTTTTCCAGCAACTGTTTCCTCCTGGCAATATGTCCAAAGTATGAGAAACAAAGCTTAGCCATCCTGGCCTCCAAGGAGCCAGCAGGTAGTAAGATCTATTGGTTCTTTTGGGAGTCCATGACACTTTTAGTATTCTCCTCCAACATCACAATTCAAAGGCATCAATTCTTCTACGATATTCCTTATTCACTGTCCAGCTTTCACATCTACATGAGGTTATTGAAAATACCATGGCTTGGGTCAGGCGTACCTTAGTCCTCAAGGTGATATCTTTGCTCTTCAACACTTTAAAAGTTCTTGTGCAGCAGATTTGCCTAATGCAATATGTCATCTGATCTCTTGACTGCTACTTCCACGAATGTTGATAGTTGATCCAAGAAGAACGAAGTCCTTGACAACTTCAATCTTTTCTCCGTTGATAAGAATGTTGTTTATTGGTCCAGTGGTGAGGATTTTTGTTTTCCTGACATTGAGATGCAATCCATACTGAAGGCTGTGTTCCTTGAATTACTTTCCCTCAATTTCTTCTCTGTTCTCAAATAGCCCAGGATTCAGGTCATATAGCAGACTTTCATCCAGGCAGGCTCACCGGCTGCCGATTGGCCTGCCTCCTTCCTTTAAATTTAACTTATATAGAAAACTCCCATGTGGAATGTATGATAGTATAGCACAATCTTCCCTTTTACAACATGGTTGACAATTTCCACTGTTTAACAAAAACAACTTGGTGACCAAGATTTGTTAAACCCAGAAGCAGCATCAAGTATAATTCAATCTGTCTGTTGAATCTGCTTGCTCACTTGAACTCCTTTTTTCTATTTTGTATGTTGTTGTATTGTTGATAACTGCTATCGAGTCAGTTCCAACTCATAAAAACCCTTTATAGGGGTCTCTGAGGAATAGTTTGTGAGTTTAAACTGCGTCTTTGCAGTTCATTTTGACATTGAGGTCCTGCACTTATCTTACAGTACCACACCAGGATTCTATTTGATATGGCTGCCACTAATGTGTTTCCCATGCTTGCTGACATATTAGCTCTAGATAGGTGATATGCAGCATTCTCTGCTCTATAAACAGGGCTTGCTGGATGATGGAACATGGGAAATAGGCAGATTCTTACTGGAGAAGTTGGGGTGACATGAAGTCCTTAAAGTTGCTTCTCACTTCCTCTTTAGCAGCTATCCTCCCTTATGTACTCTTAAGGAAAGAAGGCACTACCCTTTGGGTCTTTCCAAACTGCCTAGTCTTTGGAATCTTGGACCTTATAAATGTTTAGCACAAACAGTGTAAATGGGTTACATGGGGGTCTGGGTGGGATAAACAGCATATTTTTAGTAAAACTAAATGTCAGCTGTCTCCTAGCTTCCTAAAGATGTTTTGGAGTCTAGAAGAAACCAAATTTTATTCTTCTGGGGTTTTTTTTTTTTTTTGGAATTCTTGCCAAAATGATTTTTAAAACATTACCATTCTTATTGCTTTCAATTGGGAGACCAGCTGAAGGGAACTCACTTGCTAACTATTTCCTGTAGGCCAAGAACTCTCTGGTGTTGTTACCATACCCTGCTGGGTGTCAGTACATTCTCGGTGAAAGGTTTGGCTTATAAATGTGTTCCATTTTAGGGTTCATGAACATTAATGTGTTGCTATTGTTGAGTTGGTTCCAATTAATAACAACCTTGTGTACAGTTTCTAAGGAGTGGCTGGTGGGTTTGAACCACTGTCCTTGCTGTTAACAGTTCAATGCTTATCTTACAGAACCGCACCAGGACTCCACAAGGCCCTTGTCCTTATATAAGGTGAGGTTATCTGTTTGGTTCTGACTTGGAAGTCCACACTTCCAGGCCATTAAGAGGGAAGGGAAAAGGTCTTGGCAGGAAGTACCTCCCTGTGGAAAGTAGGACAGGGGTGGATACTGGTGTTTAACATCTAATTCTGGTCCCAGATCAGAGTGCCTTTATTTAGAGAGCTGCTCACCAGCATTAATTTGAGAAGGGAGCCCTTTAGTGCAAGGGAGGTGAGAAGTAGATGAACAGAAGGCTTAAGTGCCGTTGAGTCAGTTCCAACCTGTAGCGACCCTGTATACGGTTTCTGAGGAGCAGCTGGTGAGCTTGAATGGCTGACCTTGGGGCTCAAACTGACCTGGAAGACCAGCATATTAGCCCACAATGCCACACAGATATGAACTGTTTTACTATTTTAAGATAAGTAAGTTTAAGAAGCCAAACATACTATGATACAAAACTTGAAGTTCTGGACCAATGATCAATCACTGAAGACAGGTCTCTGAAAAGGAAGGTAAAAGTGCTTCTTCACATTGGGTCCTTACCTATCCAGGAGCTATTCATCCAAAGAGGACCTAAGCATGCAGCAGCAGGAGGGAGCAGGTGCAGAGATTGATGGTCTGCTGAACAGTGAGAATACTTTCTTTCTGGGGCCGAGGCCAGGAAGCCTTTGCTAAGGAACAGTCTCCTATTTAGCACAGAGAATAAACTGGGGTTTCAGTTGGGGTTTCTCTCCACTTCCTACCTCTAATAACGACATTTTTTCCCCCATCACTAGGCAGCAGAGTTAAACACAAATAAGGAGGAAATTAAATCTTTTCAAATAATTAATTTCTCTTTCATTCCTAGGACTCACAGAGTCCCAAGCACCAGCTGGGACCATCTTCATTGCTTATAATCTCCCTGTGTTACCCAGGCAGCTGCAGCCAGAGCTAACAACTATAGAAACTTGCTCTTTAGGCTCTTGAAATGGCCCCATCAGTGACCCTGTCACTGAGATGATAAATTTTGGGTCTTGGAAGGTTAATCTCTCTCTCTAGAAGGTAGAAGAGAAAGGGAAATGAGTGTGACATATTTTTTACCTTCAGCAGCTCTCTTAAAGAAGACTTTGCAGCTTCCACAAGTGAGTGCTCCATAGTGACAGCCGGAAGCTTCGTCTCCGCAGATAAGGCAGGTCTTCTGAGGTGGAAAATAATAATCGATGGGCAGAACATGGTCTCTAGCAGTCTCCAAACTGGAAAAACACAAAATGCAGCACATGTCAGTGGGAAAAAAACAACAACAAAACAAAACAAAAAACAAAACTAGAGTCTGAGATCATCAAGAGTAAATTGCATGAAAAAACTATGATTATCCATTGTTCAAGAGTCAGTGTAAAGATGGATTTTCCTGACATTTCTCCGAGGAATGTTTGTAGAATTACCTGAAATCTGGACAGAGCCCTTTTGTACCCAATAGAAGGATTAAGGAAATTCCTTGGGATCAGTCTCATAGGCTATAAAGGCAACAAGTCTTAGGTTAAGGTTTTGACTTAAGGTGGTGGTAGGATAACATCTTTGGAGCAATTAAATGGTACTAACCCAACCTCATATCTTCCAACGGGAGACTAAGATCAAATCATATATTAGGAGCAATTTAACTCTTAGAAACTTAGTCTTACCGATAAAACGGGGATAATATCACAAACTCCACCAATCTTTTGTGAATGATAGTATAAATCACAGAATCATAATAGGCTGTTGGAATTAATATGTAAGTAAGGAATCAGGATTAGTATTATCACACCAGTCTTCTTTGGTCTTTGTCTTTATATTCTTGGTGGTGGTGGTAGTGGTTGTGTGCTGTCAAGTTGGTTCTGACTCATAGCAACCCTGTATAGGGTTTCCAAGGCTGTAAATCTTTACTGGAGCAGAAAGTCTCATCTTTCTCCCTCACAGTGGCTGGTAGATTCAAACTTCTGATTTTGTGATTAGCAGCGTAACTCATAACCCTGTTACCAGGGCTCCTTTATATTTTTAATAGTCTCTCTAAATCACCTGAACATTTAAAATCTGTTCTGTAACAAAGTGTAGCAATCCTTTACACCTGAGGTTCCTATTGAGAAATAATGCACAGTGATTATGGAAATATCTGATTACTGCCTCAGCACTTGAGCAATCAGAAGGCAGTTCCCTGGATTGGAATGGAGCTCCAGAGGTCACCTGGCCTAACTAATTGCATATCTCCAAGCAGATCTGTGTCTGAGTCCTTCCAGATGGATCTGACAAAAGAGTACCATAAAGGAAACCCAAAAACTTTCAAGGAAGGATAATTCTGAGTCACCCATAGTAATTCATTAAACTTTAAGTATATGGAACAAGGTTTTTATTATCTAAAAGTAAACTTTTATTTCCCCTATGTCCTAAGTCTAAATGCTAAACAATACTCATGTGAACTTTCAAACACAAGAATGCAACTGCTATATTTTATGATAATTTCTTCCTTATTAAGGAAGTAAGGAATGAAGGAAGGAAAGCTGGAGAGGGGTTAGAGAAGAGGAAGTTAGTTAATCTTAATGGTGTCTGTTCACAATTATGAGTGATTTTAGTATCTCAAAACAACTCTGTGAGGTAAGTTTATTTTCTCATTACTACATCTATTGTATGGAGTCCTGGTGTGGCTCTGTAGCTAAAGCATTGGCTTGAACTGCAAGGTCAGTGGTTCAAGCCCACCATCCACTCTTTGGAAACTCTATACAGGGTGGCTATGAGTTGGAACCAACTCAACAGCATTCAACAACAACAAAAACATATCTATTGTGCAAATGAATATAGTGAGATCTGAAAGGAGACCAGGATTGTCTAACTCCAAGTTCACCACTTTCTCCAACCCTATTGTCTTCTCAGAGTCCTGGTGTGGCACTGCATGCTAATGCGTCAGACTGCAAAGTCGTTTGAACTGCATGGTCAGTGGTTCAAGCTCACCAGCTGCTCCTTGGAAACCCTATATAGGGTTGCTATGGGTTGGAATCGACTGAACGGCACTTAACAAGAACAACAATTGTCTTCTCACTATTCATCTTTAATTTTAGGCCATGGTTTTTTGACTACTATGTTCAGCACAGCCATTAGAATCCAAAAAGGCATGAAAGGTTATCCTCCCCTCAACCCCAAGTGAAAAGCCCTGACAGGGCAAACATGAAGACAACTTTCATTAAGGCTATACTTGACAAGCATTTTAGTGCCTAAATAAAAATAATAGTCTTTATTCAAGTCCCAAGTATAAAAAAGAGCACGTAAAAAGTTCTGCTCATATGCAAACTCAGTGGCTAGCTATGATGACCTGTCTTTTCTCTATACAACACTTCCCTTTCCTACTCTAACTAGAAAGCTAGCCACATTCCAACCACAAAATCAATACTAGCAGAGTCACAAGTTACATAAGAAAGGAGATCACTTCCAATATACAAGTAGTCCAAATGCCAAGAACATAATTCCCTTGGCTAAAAAGTGTTCTCCACTCCCAATCTTGAAACAGGAGCTTTTTGCAAGAGTCTTTCCCATTTCATGACTTTTCTGACTTTCATAAGTAATACAAACAGTTCAAATAAAACCAGAAAGACATGTCTTTAAGCATTCTATAAGCCACATTATGTA